GTAGAAACTGGGCCCAAAAACTTCCCGGCCTGAAAGTGCGGATGCTTGGAATCCCTAAATTGGCCTTACGGGAGACAGATGGAGGAGTCTTAGAATTTTGTGACAAGATTGGTAAAAAGAATCTTTAGGCCAAACGCCCTACAACCCCGATAAGTCGGTGCTGAGATTTCGTCTGTACTGCCGTGGCAGACAGTCATTTGAAAAAATTCACCCAAACACGAAAGCAAATTCAGTTGTCTTGGTTTAGTGCCTTAATGATTATTCCTAAATGACGGTTCTGGCTCTGAGGATGCTTGTCACATGACAGACGAAAGCGCAACTATGATGAATTTTGGCTGCAGGACGGTGTACCGAGAAACTGTGGAACCTAATGAAGAAATCAGTTGCCATGTAGCATAGGAGCCTGAAAAGGAGCTTCATTTAGTAGGTTTTTTATGCATTTTTATTTTGATTATTTATAGCTGTTATTTAAGGTAACAAATTAATTTTATTTTCTCTCATTTACTTTGTATGAAATATTAAGAGCTTACTACCGAAGCGATTGGAGCAAAGCGAATAGTCGCCAGAGCGAATCGTGAAGTGACTATAGGGACCCCGGTCCTCTCTCCAATAAAGGAAATGTCCCTCAATCTTCGAGACAAGCTGACCAATGGGCATCATCATGATTGCATTGCAATTAGCCACAAAATTAGGAGCAAAGTGGCTTCGGAGGGGACCGTGCAAAAAATGCTCAATTTAACAGCATGATCTTTTCTCATCATTAGACAAAGAAAAATATTTTTCACCATAAAGTATGGAGCAGTTGCACCAAGTGTTTATATGGACATGTGTGCAAAAATCTATTTTAAAGTAAAGTCTTTCAGTTGGCATATGGGGGCACTAGCCTGTGCATATTGTGTGTTTGTGTGTATTAGTGTGTGTAGCCGGTCGTGTGCCTAGTGCATTATTGTACTTGGGAATAGTTCAAGGCCAAGTGAGGCAGGTTAGACAAGTCGCCAAGACTTGGCTGTGGGAGAATAGCGATGCAAGCATCAGCATAATAAACTGGCTTATCACGAAAATGAAGGGTTGGAAGAGCACCAGGACGGTTTCAGTTATGGGGGCATGAATATTGAAATGAGAGCGGTCCGGAGGGCATTGATAGGTTGGGGACTAAGAAAGAGAAGAGGAATAGAGGAAAAAAAGAGTGACAATAGAATGGGAAAAGGAAAAATTAATGAAGTATATATGAAAAAATGTTGCGTTTCAAAGAGTCCTATAATAAATTTATGTTACGGGAACTTTTATTTTAAGGAAAAGTTGGATGAAATGGGGTCGTAAACTGGCCTCATCTGAAACCAATGAAGGACTGTTGATTCGGGCGAAGAATTCCTCGGCGCGCACGCCGTGATTTCGACGAATACGAAATTCTTCATGCAAATCACAACCTTAGCCTCAAAATAAGACAGAAATATTTGGAAAAGTAAGTAGACCAAGTGATAGAAAGAGAAGAAAAAAGAAAAGAAAAGAGAAGAAAAGGAGACTTATTGTCGTGCTTTGGCTACATTGTTTGAGGCAAGAGAGAGTGACATTAAACATCGGCAGCACCGACCAATCGGGCCAGAGCCTCTCAACCATCGTGCGGAGAATAAGCAAGTTCGTATCAAGCCAAGATGTCGAGTTTTGCAATCGGTCTTACATCAACACCGGTCTTGGCGACTTCCAGCAAAGCCGAATGGGAGGTACAAAAAATAAGACACGCATTGTCAGGCCTTCCGACACGGCCCGGTGCATACAGATTTCGACCAAACGTTACAAATTGTCGAAAGTCCGGCCGACTTGTGGAGGTTGTGTTCAGACCTGCATTCTTGACCTGGATTATTCATCTGGACGTGTGTGTATACAATAAGTGCTCAAAAGACATACAATAGGGTTTATCAGTCCCTCATTATGGATTCCCGACTTTAATTTTTGCCTGCTTTTGATGTAGAGCAATAACTTGTGTCCGTTGCTATATGCATTACGTTGTTCGTGTGTGCATGTGAGTGTGCGTTTACTTATTTGTAGTATGTGTATTTGAGCATACGCAAGTCTATCAGTGTGTGCATGGGTATATGTGCGTATGTGAAAATGTGTTAATGCGTGTATGCGTATGTGTATGTGCGCGAGTGTGTACATGTATTGGCACGCATGTCCACGTGGGTGCATAAGTCTCTGATGCTGTCTGTCTCAGCTAGCGTGTTGAGTGCATCTGTACCAGGCGTCAGAACCAATAAACCAATAAACAATACACTAGTAAGGTGCTTTCTAGTATGTTGAGGCTGGTGAGTGTTATGAAAACCTGCAAATGTTCTTAGAAGATAGACCAAAGTGCGGTCTGGCCTTAATGGCCAACCAGACTTGTCAGTTTGACAGTTTTGTATCAAGTGGCGATATGGTCCTCTGCATAGCCGACAGCGAGCAGGCCGTGCGCAGACAGGTCGGGACTACACCTCATCAAGAGATGGATGTGGACGTCGGCATCGAAGTAATGTGAAAAAACAAAAATGGGAGTGGTAAGCTCTTTTCGCTGTCGGTGATTTTGCTGTACCTGCTTGTTCGAGATAAGAGATTTTCTCGTGAAACCCAATTTCTAGGACATTTAAAGACGGAGTTGGGAAGCGGAAAAACTGCATGTTATGGGAAACCGATTAGAGTCAGTGCAGCGGGAGGATAAAGCAGGACGAGATTAACGGTATCCCCAAGGCATTAGTGGAGACTGTGCCAGAGGACGATCGGCCTGAAGCAGAAAATTGGCCAATCCTTTGCAGGGAGTGGGAAAAAATGAAGGCCAAGTTGTGCCGGTGAAGGATAATTCACGTAGCCATAATTGGGCTGGCCGCGACTGTAAACAGATTTTATGCTAACATGCAGACCAGAAGTGCGTCCTTCTTCGATGTCGACTGAGGTTCACAAGCACCGGCGCCCTGGCCGAATTCGCACCCAGGACGCAAGGATCAAGGGCCAAATGCGATGACCTCCAGATCGCTGTACATGACTCGTCCTCCTCCTGGAGTCGGTGTTAAGGAAAGTGTTGAGGAAAGTCTTGTCCAACCTAATCCGCACCATGGGCACCTGGTGATTCGCAATTTCTGTGGCGCAGGGGCCATATCTTTCGACACTATGCAAACTGCAACATAGCAAAGAGGATGTCTCGTAAGCGATAAGCAAAGAGAATGACTAAGCTATGATCCGCCCAACTAAAGGTATGTTAATCGAAGGTATGAGGGACAAGATGGTGCGGCCTTTTATGTGGTCGCAGTCTCCTTTCGTGGCAGAAAAGTTGTTTGACCTTGTTTTCACAACTCGGTCATATTGGTAGGAACGCACCAATTCCGGAGTCCATTGTATGCATCATCATTTTCAAAGTCAGCCCGTGGACTTGGTACATTCCCAGACGTTTCCCCGGCATCGTCAGTAAGTATCGCCATTCCTAGCAGCTCGTCAAAGAGACAGGTGAAGCCGATCCTTGGATCAAACATGTGCTAAACAGTTGTGGTATCTTCTCTTCTGCCCTGGGCTATTCAGATTTCTTATATCCAATTGTTACTGTGCTTATTTCGATGTAGTGTAGTGTGCTCCTTTGAGCGGCTGTCGTTCTCACCCCCTTCACCCTTGTGTTGGGAATGTTGATCATAGTCTGCCGTATTGTTACGCAGTCCTCCTTCCCTAGGTCCTATCACAGTCTCCCTCTTGCCCCGTAGGATCCGTCTGCTATCGCTTCGGTCCAAGTATTTCACTCGACCCCTGCCACCCCGTCGGTGCTAGTCGGGATGTTATTTCCCACACTGCCTCTGGGTGACTAATTCGAGGCTCAAGCCTTTGCTACATGGACCACGTATATGGTACAACATACCTACTGTTAGCCAACTAGCTCCAGTCTCCGCCGCGTCTATCCTGTTTATATCCCAAGTCTATGACCTTCCTATGCCCTAGTCTCTTGCGTGCCAACCCACAAATGTTGTGGTACTGCTGGCTTTGATTAGGTTCAATGTTGAAACACAACGTTTGTGGGTTGGCACACAAGAGACTAGGGCATATGCATATTGGATCATAAAAATGCTGACGGGGAGATGAGATAATGTATGCGGCTCCACTCTAACTTGGGTAATTAGGAAAAAGTGACCGAATGAGGACGATGACTGGATGCCAAAATCACCCAAATGAATGGATTATCTGAGAGTGTAATTGTGAAGAGGACAATGTGTATGCACGGCTCGAGTAGTAGTGGGATACAGGCACAGGAAATATGAATGAAAGGATAATGCAGTGTGCAGACCTTCATGTCACTTGGACTTGCCGGATCCTGGAATAGCTTAGAATGGGTAACAGAATGACAGTTGTCCGGGCAAGCACTGGTCACATGATGAGAATGGACATGTAAATGAAACTGAACGGATATGGGGGCTTTCTAATGTGCAGTGACCCTTAAGTGAAACGAGATAACGGCTGACAACATGCGAATCTTTATGGTGCTGTATACCTTCGGCCTATCACCAAGGGGGTACCTAACAGATTGGCAATGGCAACAATTGCCTCCCCTTCGGATAAGGCATAACCGAAGACCATGTGCGACTAGTTGCCTAAATAAAATGGTCTTCAGAATAAAATAAAGCAAATTTCGGTAACTAGATTTCGAGATTATCAATAATTCAGGAGTAAGAACTTAGTTACCTTAACTCGCATAAGATGATATAAGGACTCTGTGAGTTTTTTCCACAATTATATGAACAGCCATAACAGTGATCTTGCCTCAAAGAGCTTACTTCATCCAGGCTGGATTGGAACATAGTTTCGATATTGCCTACGCCGTATCAGATCGGTTGTGGCAACAATAGTGACATGACTTTCCATCCAGAAGGAAAAGTTGGTTGGAAGGAATTCGTGAATTGGTCCCACCGGAAAGTGAAGAAGGATTGCCTGTTGGATTGTCCCAATATTCTGCAACCCTGCTGAGCCCACGTTAACTTTTCCTTCGTCATGCGACAAGCATAGTCAGAGCGAGAAACAACGCCTATTCATTTCTTATACCATATTTTGCTATCTTAATGAGGCATCCCATGATTTGTTAGTCCATGACAAACCGTCTACGGCTTCCGGTGGGACCAATTTACAAACTGCTTTCAGTCAACCTCTCTTTCGAAATGAAAAAGTCCTACTAGCTCGCTAAGGGATTCTCCGAAGCCCAACTTTTAGTCATATTCATGAATGATGGATTTAACAGTTGAGCTTATAAAAGCCTCAGTTCCGTTCATCACAGGCACACTTGGGCACAGTCAAAACGAGGTCAAAACTCGCCCAATATCCTCCCGCAACTTGACACAGTCTTAATGATGAAAGTCAGATTGCTGCTTGTTTTTTAGTTCCCTTGCGTATGTACCATGTCGCGCAATTCCCGTCCGTAGACTGAGAATGGCTTGCCATGTTTGTAATCCAGACAAATGTGGCGTGTCAATATCCACAGGTTCATGAAGATCACCTATCACTTCCTCTAGCATGGAAGTCGATTCTTTGCTGTTCTCGCAACAGCCCTCACAACTAATGGATCCTGAAAGTCTGATTTCCTCATCGTCCGTGCTGACCAATAGAAAGCAATACCCTTTCTCGAGCAACCATCGGCCTTACTCTCCTTCCAATGCGAAGTGAGAGCTTGCACATCTGGAACATGAAAAGGTTAAATTTGATGGGCTATTTCTGACACAAGTCGTCGTGTACTGTTGCATAGTGGAGCCTGACGAAAGACTCGATGATCGTCTGCCGACGAGATTTGAGGCTCATCAGATTCGAATCATATATCCCAATTTTAGAAATGTGTAGTCACGCTTAGGCATGCAAGAACAGTGGAACTTGTCTCTTCTGTAGAGCTGGATACTTTGGCCTCGGGATCCAGTAGTTGCGCTTACTTCCATTTCGAGTGAAATTGTCTGATGAAGAGATTCGATGGTCGATTCCACCAACAACAGTTACGAAAAAAGAGATTCCTCGAAACCAAACTTTTCGTCGCACATACTTGGGATCCATGGCAAATAGTTGGATGAAGACACACAATGTCAGCTGCGACTCTGGGAAATACAATTTTCCTTGTTGCATAAATCACATAAACCAAAATACTTCTAAGCAATTTTCCATTGGATTCCCTTTGGTACAGCCACTTTCCCCACAGAGCAGCAGCACTGGGGGCTAGTTTTTGTTTTCCAGATTGCCTTTAAGTGGTTACAGTTTGATGAATTGAATGCAAGCTCTCAACTCGTCTGGAGAAGCGTTGGCTGCCTTCAGCACGTCAACGTTGACATCAAGAGGTCGGCCAGATCCAGACTAATGTTCACTTCGATTGAGGCAAAGAGAGTGAACATCACTAAGGTTACTCGAAAACCAGTCACGAATCGAACTCATTCCTTTAGCCAGACTTGGAATACTTATTCAGACGCTTGACAGTTGCACTGGCATCCCAGCACAACAGACGAAAGTCGAAAACATGAGAACATTCTGCGCCGATCCATAAAAGTAAGAAAAACTGTAACCATGTGCAAAGAACGTATTACAACATCCGATGATTTGTTCCCCTGTACAGAATATAATTAAGATATCTGGAAATGTGAATAGGCCAGGGCAGAAGGGGAGATACCATAACTGTATAGCACACGTTTGGTCAAAGGATGGGCTTCACTTGTCTCTTTGACGAGTTGTTGTGTGGGGCAAAGAATGGCGATACTCACTGACGATGCCGGCGAAACGTTTGTAAATGTACCACGTCCATGGTTCAACTTTGGAAATGATCATGCAAACAATGGACTTCAGACTAGGTGCGTTCCACTAAGTCTTCCTACCAATTTGACCATGTTGCGAAAACAAGGTCAAACAACTTCTAACTCAGAGATAATTAAATAATATTTAGACACGTAAAAATTGCTCATTTAGCCAAAACGACACATTCCCTGGTACACTTTGCCGGGCCCGCTGCCTCTGATGAGTACGCAAGTTTTCGTCTATTATGGTGTGATTGTACTGACAAGCCAATTAGGGAAGAACAAAAGAGCATATTCATAGGAACTAGGCTTAAATGTTTCCAGTAAATCTGGAATAAAAGTTCTATAGCTTCAAATGAGACTCGAACCCTGGCAGTTTAGCGTATAACTTCGACACGTTTGCCCTGCAACTCAAGGAGAACTACTGGCGATGTGACGTAGGAATCACATGGTCGAGGGAAAAATCAACTAGCAGCTCTTCATTATATGCGATCTAGGGTGACTAGAACTCCTACACAAAATGATAAGTCCAGCCTCGAAATCCTATGTCAGTCACGACAAGACGGATCCGGATATTCAAATTGAAGCGAGGTGTGAAGGAGAAAAACCAGTTGGACGTTTCAACTTCCCTTCTGTAGGGCTTTGACGAGCCATAAAGCCATACAAAGTGG